TAATACGGCAGGAAATCGCCCCAAAATTAATTAAAACATGTTTTGACCAAGCAAAACGTACCCGATAAGCATCAACCCCCACGAAGGAGGATATCAGCTCTTCCCAATTACCTCACCAAGGAGAGCAAAGTGGGGATGTAATATAGAAGCGTCCATCCCCACGAAGGAGGATAGCAGCTCTTCCTAATTTCCTCACCAAGGAGGACAAAGCGAGGATGCAATATGCAATATGATATGATAAATATTGAATTCATGAGCAGAAAATTATAAAGGCTTACCAGTGAAAGACAGAGACTCCCTCTCAGGTGACTGAGTGGCTGAGCGGCTTCTCGGAAAGCGTGATCTCCTTATCGACATGGCTAATCTGCAATAAAGATTAACAGTTCAGTTAGATCAAGAATCGAGGTACGCAAATCAGAGATTAAAAGGAAAATTGTGAATCTCTCACTAAAATTCTACAAAATGGAATTTTCCAGTTAAAGGTCCAATTAAACCTATAAAACGTTTTCGATGCAAATTGGAGTCCGAAAAATAAATGTGTAAAGCTAAGGCGACGAGTTCGATTCTCGACCAATACATAAGCTAAGTGCTTGGATATTTTTCTCTCAAAAGCCAAAGGGTGGACACAAGCTCAATTCTTACACAAGGATCAAGCAAGAAATTCAACCAAAATCTCTAGACTCACCAAACTAAAATAAAGGTTCGGCCTATACAAGTTTAAGAACTAAAGCGTCGATAATTCCTCCAAAATGCCGATGAGTTCAGTTCTCAACCAGTATGCAAGCTATGGAACTTGAGTTATGTTCAAAGTCAAGAATAATATATTGGTCATCACTCAGTTAATTCTCACACAAGCCAAAAAAAGGGTCTCGACCATGACAACACACAGATTTACAAGCCAAGCATGTCAAAAATTCAGTCAAGTCATACACAACTAAGCTCAGGTCTCAACCAATGTACAAACTATGGGTTTTGAGTTATATTCAGAGCCAAGAATAATACATTAGAATTCTCACACAAGTCAAGCAAAGTCTCAGCTACACTCAAATGCAAGTTAAGGGGCTTGAATCTCACTCTCAACCAAATGCAAACCAAGAAGTTTAGTTTTACTCCAAAAATCAAGTACAAAACAATAGTTGCGGCCTTGGCACTTTTCTTAAGAACTCGACGCTAGTTCATGCTCTCAAGCATCTCAAGATCAGTTCTCAATCACGACCAATAACCCATCATACGGCAAAACCCCGTGTACCAGTGCAGTGATAAGTAAAAAAGGCATATAAGTTAATTTAATTCCAGCATATAGCCAAGCTAAAGCAAATGTTTCAAACATCAAACAGGAAAGCATAATATGTGCACACAGTCAAATTTTGTGCAAGACTGAAGGTCCAAACAAGACTGTCGAAGCCAAAGGGTTTTGATTTCTATCTAAAATCAAATCAAGCCCCACACACAGCCAAGCTTAATTTCAAGTTTTCATCAGCATCAAGCTAAGAGTTTCATTCAAAACCAGAATAACAACCTTGTCGCTCAAACGAAACCAAACCTGAAATTCCAATTCTTCCTCAAAATCGAGACTTAGGGGAATTTGTGATGAAAACCAAACCAAAGTAAAGAACGACAACACCAAAATCAAGAATACAAAGCTCAGTTCTTACCTGAAATTCGGCGAAGAAACGAAGCTTGGATCTAGGGGGAGGAAGAAGCCGACTCAAGAACCTCGGGTTCCTATCAAAGAGGAAAGAAAAAGTGGTTTAGTGGTGTGCACAAAGAGAACTGACGAACAACCCGAAACCAAGTTGAGGCTGCGTTTTTTTTTTTTTTTTTTTTTTTTTTTCCCCCCGAAACCAAGTTGAGGCTGCGTTTTTTTTTTTTTTTTTTTGTTGCTTTTCCCCCTAAATTCGAAAATTAAGGTTTCCAATATACCCCCAAGAACAAAAATCATCAAAGAAGAATTGAAATTCAATGATCAATTTTGTCCAACAAATTGAAGCAAGGGAAGTGAAGCTTACCTAGATTCGAAGAGGAATCAAGAAGAAGAAAGACCCGTCGAAGCAAAATCAGCCGATGTTGAACCCAAATGGAAAGATGGTCGAACCCTAGCTTGCCCTGCTTAGAGATTTGAGAAAGGGATTTAAGGAGCTTGAGGGTATCTTAATCTTATTTGAACTCTTGAACCAAAAGAGTTTTTGGAAGACCAGAGTTGGAAGAAGAAGAGACGTCTGAAGTCGGTGGAAGAAAAAGAAATGAAGAGGGGAGCATGAGATCGGGATTTTAGTCCCCAATGGTGTGTTTGGGAGTTTAGTTTTAGGGAAGGGAAGGAAGGGGAATTTTTCCCCATCCTTCCCTTCCCCTCCATTACACCCTAATTTGGGGTGTAAGAATTTGAGCCAAATTTCCTCTTCATTCCTCTCCTCTACCCTTCAAAATAAAACTCCCAAACAAGTTTAAAATGAAATTTCCCTTCCCTTCCCCCTCTCTACCCTCCATCCAAACAGGCCACAAAGGAACCCCCGACCCGTGTTCGTGCGGGTCGGATTGACCTGACCCACATTCGCGCGGGTCGGGTATGTGTGACCCGCCCTCGCGCGAGTCACTTTAATCTGGCCCGCGTTCGTGTGAGTCGGGTATGTGTGACCCGTGTTCGCGTAGGTCACTTTGATCCCACCCGCACGCAGGTTTGGTCCGACGATCGTTTTCGTGGTATTTTCACCCGCTTTCGCCCACTTTCGATATATCCAGAACCCACTCTTACTCCAATGGGTATATGGGTCGAAACTATTTCCCACTCTTTACGGAAAGTTTCTGGAGAATATTACGCGTAATATTCTTAAGGATAATCCGGCAACCTCCGGCGGATACACGAGGTTAAACTGATTCCCGAAACTCACAGGAGTATACGAGTATAAACTGGTCCTCCTCGCGCCAACATCGGTCAACACGTAGCCCTAAGTCAACGTTGGTCAACGCGTTGCGATGAAAGTCAACGCTGGTCAACGTGTGGCGATGAAAGTCAACATCGATCAACGCATAACCCTAGGTCAACACCGGTCAACGCGTAACCCTAGGTTAATGCGTTGCGACAAAAATCTATGCCAGTCAACGCGTGGATCGATACTTCAACAGTTTTCGTTGAAACATGATTTGAGTCAATCCTAGTTCAAAAGATATGAATTCCCGACGAAAGGTACTTAGTACAACGTTGACCCAACGGTACGAGCTAAGTTCAGAAACTAATACATTAGTTTCAATTCGAGACTTCGACAACGGTCATACGATAAATGAAGCACCGAAAGAATTTTAGCTATTCGACAAAATACTGAATAGACTTAAAAGTGGAGAAGTCAAGAACTAGAGCCAGTTATAGTTCCTTTGACACCGATTGAAGGTGGGAGCCTATCACATCTAAAGCATTTCAGACTCCTCTATAAAAGAATGAGGCTGAAACACTTTGGAGGGTGTATCTGTAGGCGTCTAAATTTGCCTATGAGCTCCCACACGCAGCTCGAATTGGAGAGTGGACATTACCATCCAAGTAAAGAAGGATTATCCAATTGGATGTTGCCCTCGTCGGTCAGCTCGCGCACGTCAGTCAACCACAAGTGACCAGAAGCCCTTATCAGGCAGCTTCAAGTGACCGGATGTGCTAGCCAGTCAGCTCGCGCACGTCGGTCAGCCCCAAGTGACCGACACGTTCGTCGGCCAGTCCTTCAACGAATACTTTCTTTGTGAAGTAGGAGCTCTGATCAATTCTTCTGCTAACCGGATCTATTCCATAGGCGGTCCACGGATAAACCCCGGCACCGGCAACGATCTCGCACAAACAATAGGAGTTAGAACTACTATTGTGTGTAGTTTGAAAGAAAGTTGTAATTGTTGATTAAAAGTCTTATAAAAAGGCTAGTTTCGTGAATTTATTGAAACGCTCAAAGTTATAATGGATTCTTCAATGAAATCGACTTTCCACCTAAATAGTGTTTTGCAATACAGAAAGGAGTAGCGGCGCAGCTTGTTGCCCGCTTGTCATCATCACATGTGTAATTGTTTATCAAATTATTATAATTTGATTAAAATAAAAGAAAAAGAAATTTTGGACAAGAAAAATCAGCATATATCCTGAAATTGGAGTTTCGGCCTCAGCAGCTAAAATGGGCAATTGATTTGGTCCGTAGAAGTTCATCACTAGAAGAGCCAAGTGATGAATTAATAGCATCTAAATTCAGAACGAAAGAGGCCCAAGTCCCCAACCATGAATGCACAACAGCAACAGCATCTCGTCGAGTATTTTCTTTCCTGTTGTTTCGTTCATAGGCGATGAGGGTACAAAAATCGCAGTTCTATAAGAAAACTGATTTCTATATTTTACTAACACTGATGTTAATAAGTGATGACACACCGCGCCAATTTGAAATCGCAAGTGAATCCTTTTGGTTCACAAACAAACAGGTAAACCGTAAACAGTATTTTATTTGGAGGCAAATCTATTAAATTTTGTAAATGCTATCTTTGCTAAACTAGCATACCAGACTACGTTCTTGACATCTATCTTATTTGGATTTCCTGCTAATTAAATGAAAATTTGAACTACAAAAGTTAATTTATAGTCCCAAGACCACAACAACAACACAAGACCAGGGTATGGGGTTGTAATCAGAATGCACATAATTAGTAAAAAGATTACTCAACACAAGACCAGGGTATGGGGTTGTAATCAGAATGCACATAATTAGTAAAAAGATTACTCAGGGTATGGTCTTTGGAGAAATATGTTGCCCCTTAACTAGGAAAATAAAGGACGAGTATGGTCCTAGCTTAAGGCAGGATTCCTGATTTACAATGGATATAGGGGAGAGAAACACGTGATACTACTCCCTCTGCCTCTGAGCATGTGTAACTGCTGAAAAGTTCCGAAGCCAAAAGGAAAGTATATTGGAAAAAGGTCCAAGTGGGTGATGTTTACTTTCATGTACTGTTTCATTTCTGAAATAACTGTAAATTTTTCTTAATTTCCAAGCTCAAGCCGATTGGAAAATATGCATCAATCTTTTTCTGATAACAAAGATACATGTTTCCTGTAATGCTTATAGTTACATCTGAATCTTTCAGATTACTTTCTAAGGTTGTTAATTTTTCCTCGTAGATATCGAAAAAATCCCAGATTTAGTGTATCAACGTATGATGCAGCAATATAATTAGCATTGATCTTGGTTTATTTGGATAGTTTACTCAACCAACTCTGGCCTATGTATTTTTTGTTTACATTTAGATCTAGTCAAACCCATTCGTGAATTAGTTCAATTGATAAATCAAATTCAACATATTTGAGGGCGATTTAAAAAAAAAAAATCCTCTGAGAAAGCTCTTAGTTATGATAGCAAAGGAGCTCTGTTCTTCCATTTTGGATGAGAACAGAGCATGGCTCCTCTCATTGTAAACCTGCACAGCTTATAGGGAATTGTGTGTATTTTCAGTTTTTTTATATCTCATTGTTATGAGTATCTTGATGTATATACATTTCTCAATCTGGTACATGAATAAAAAAAATTCATTGACCCAAAAAAAAAGAGCTCTTAGCCTCACCACTGTAAATTGCTAAGGACTGTTTTACGTTTGCAATTTCACATAAGAATCCACCACCTGTTTGGCAATTGCAATGTTGAGTAGCAGATAAGGAGATTGAGCGGAGAGGTTTAACATGGATAGAGCCATGTTTAATTGGATTACTGACTTAGAGTTAAGCTGGGTCGAAATTAATCTAATATCAGCTTATTTGCTATTTGATAGAAACTTCATTTTTTTGGGAACTTATTGCTAACCAAAAAAAAAATGATTGCAATCTTTCATGATAAATCATTTTTTTTCCTTTTATTTTGGATATACTCCAATATATGCCTGTTTGGTTTTAACTTCTACCCTTGGTCAGTGAGATAATCAGAGTGAGTACACTAAGTATATAACTGATTTTATTTTCCCCTCCCTCTCTCTCCCACCCTTGGTCAGTAGAAAATCAGAGTGATCATGAGTACACTGAGTACATAACAGATTTTAGTCTCCCCTCCCTCTCCCTCCCTCCCTCCCTCTCTCTCTCAATAACAGGGTCTATAAATAGAGAGGAAGTTAGGAGAGAGTATACACCCTTTGCTATGAAGTGAAGCTCGCTTCGTATCTTCAATGACAGGGGAGAAGGACAAAAAATGTTAATCACCACCGTGGTGCTATATATAACTCCAGTAGTAACATGACACTATACCTGTTAATTCCTTTTTGGAATCGCAGGGATTCACTCGCTTTTCTCTACTACTTTCCCGTAGAAGCTGTGAAGTTTTTCGTATTTGAATCCATCTTATCTTCATCTACTGGTGGCCTTCACTTTCGGTTGGGGTTCCTTCTTCTGTTAATTTCCATTTCCATGCATGCTTAAAAATTGCAATCAAAATCCAGACAGAGAAGCACTTCAGTGGGCTGTTTGTGGTTTCTGAAAGTATATATTCAGGGCTATTTGTAATTTTTCTAGGTCTTGGGGCTTGCTTGTAATTGTTAAAAACTTTCAGCTGGTGGTTGTAAAGTTCTCAGGGTTTGTTTTATAAATTTTTTTTGGGGATACATATTTGTAATTTTTAAAATATTCATTGGTTTTTTGTAAACTCAGCTCGGGGACGGGTGCGTCTAATATTTTTTTAGACTTTCAAAGGCTTTCTGTAAAACTATTAAGGAGTTGCTTGTAACATGGTTTCTTCTTGAAAACCACCTTATGCTTGCTTGGGGACATTTTATGGAAACCATCTTATACTTCTAATTTATATCTAGACCACCCAAATAGAATGTTTTTGTTCCCAATTTAGAAAAAAAATTTGCTCCATAGTGGGGTCACGTGATTGATTGGAAAGGAAACTAGCTTTTAGGTTATTTATGTATAAGTTAGAAATATAATGTCGTTCGTGTAAAATGACCTTAAATATGAGACGGTTTTCATAAGAAAACCCTTTGTGCTATTTTAAAGTTATGAGACGAGTGCTTGTTATTTATGCAACTTTTAGCGGCAAAATGAGGTCAGGTGGTTGATAGGAACGAAAACTAACTTTTTACGTGGTTTATGTATAAATTAGGAATATGACGTGGTTTGCGTAAAATGACTTTAAATATGAGATGGTTTCCAAGAAGAAAACCCTTTGTAATGTTTTAAGATTTTCAAAATAATGCTTGTTATTTACAAAACTTTCATGGGGCTAGTAATATAAATTTCAACGAGCTAATTGTAAAACTTTTAAGGGGGTACTTGTAATTTTTAAAGCTTTCAAGGG